TATTAAGTTTGTCTGGTAAATTGTCTAGGGATTCTACTAAGACCTTAATTTGATTAGTGCTTAATATATAAGGCCCTACGGGTCACACAACAAGTGATTATACCTTCCGATTGAATTGTTAGAAGGAATTAAATATTATTAATTGAATTAAATAATATTTAATTCATAATGGTGAAAATATGATGAGTTAATTATTAATTAGATTAATATATTTATTTCATCATGTTGAAGGAAAGTTCTATTTGATAGAATTAATTAAGTTTGATAAATTAGATTTATTATACTTAATTAAGATGTAATTTTAATTAAATAAAGTTGGTATTTTCTTTTATAATTTAGAATTAAAAGAAAATAGAAAATGAAATAAATAATAATAATAACAAGCAAAGTGACGTGCAGCCACTTTGATTTTATTATTAGTTTATTTTGTTTTACTTATTTAATTAATAAAATCATTAATGATAAGTATGGGTCCTGGTAGGACTAGAACTCATTAATGAGAAAGACTTTCATTGTGATTAGGAAACTAGTTTAGAACTAGTATAAATACATCCTTCTCCTTCATAATTGATAGACCAGTTTTCTAGATTCAGTATTACCTGTTTATTTCCCCGCGAAGAGATTTCCTAGCCTTTCTCTAAGGGAGATCTAACCGTTCTTTCGGAGAGGAGAAATCACATGGATACCTAAGGTCAAGGATTATCACCGCTAGGCTGGAAGATCTGTAAGTTGTAACTCAGATCTGACATTATTGCTATGTTCGTTGTTTTGTCATAATCAGGGAAGATCTGTTTGGAAAATTTTAAACTTCCGCTGCTGTACTTTCGAGGTACGTTACATCAATTTCCTAACAGTTACTGTCTGTACATGGATAACAAATGTCTGTATACAGACAACTAGTGTCTGGAAAAAATATTTGCTAACCTTTTGTTTCTTACTTCCCTTTTCAAGTGGTCCCTTTTGCCTATTTTTTCTTGGATCACCTTTGCGTTTTGAACATTTTGGATCAAAAAATTGTTGTATGTGGTCACCTTGTACCATTGTGGTTATCTCCGACACTTGTGTCATCATACCACAAATAGAAGATGGATGGCTACGAGGTGCACTGTTATCATACCACAAATTGGGATTCCAACCAAATCATTACGCTTTTGTATTTCTCCTCATCATCCGCAATTGTGTTTGCAAGTGCTTCAAATGTTTGACACAATTTACCAAACCTTTGTTGTTCCACCGTTGTGAGCCACCCTTCATAATTCATTTTGATCCTAGTGTAAGCTCTCTTCACATCTTTTCTCCATCTTGACATTTTGTAACAGTCGGGTAAGACGTTGACTCCATTACGAATGAAAACTGTAATCAAATGGCTACACATAATGCCTCTAAACTCAAATAAGTGACAACTACACGTTCCTACATGACTTAAAGTATCATACTTAACATTGAACTTCACAGTCCTTCGAAAGTCATCTACCATTAAATGCTCTTGAACATGAAATGTATTTCCTTTATCGCAATGCAAGGGGTCACAATACACCTTACTAATCACTTCATTTTGAAACTCCTTGAATTTTGCTAGTGTGTAAACGCATTGAAACTGTTTTTCCATTGCAAATGTAGTAACACATGGAATCATTTTGAAAAATGAATGAACATATGCTTGAAACTCTTATTACACTTTTGCTCTCAATGCACGTTTACACTGCTCCACAAATTGCTTCAAACTAGTTTTGGAGTTCACATATTCATCAAAAAACGCGTTCATGCTTTCACTTCGTTGGGTGGTAGACATACCCACCCAGAATGTAGGCTTCAAGTAACAAGGAACCCAATGGTGTCTTTCATTGTACATCAATTGAAGCCACTTATCTTCTTCAAGGGAATACCTATTACAATAATCATTAGTGTTCTACAATATTCATTAGTTGTCTACAAACAGAGTTCTTGTATGTATACAATCATTTTATGTTTGTACACAGACAATACATGTCTGAGCCTAATTTGTACAAGGGTTTGCTAGATATACCTTTGTACCATTGCTGGGCAGCCTCGTTCAAAGTCTTCTATGAATTGAGAATCATAAATCACTTCGTGTATAGCATGCATTATGTCTTCTTTTTCAGTACGTCCTCCCATTTTTTCGGGTAGCTTCTTCATTATGTGCCCTAGACACCAACGATGTCTCGTGTTTGGAAAAACAATTTGTATGGCATTTTGCATTGCACGATCTTGGTCGGTTATAATTCCCGTCGGAGCACAATTACCCATACAATCGAGCCAAGCTTTAAAAAGCCAAACAAATGTTTCTGTGTCTTCGCTCGAAATTAATCCACAACCTAACAATATGGATTGGCCATGATGATTAGCACCGACAAATGGTGCAAATGGCATGTCATAGCGATTAGTTAGATAAGTGGTGTCAAATGTGATGACATCTCCAAAGTCTTTATAAGCATATCTACAACGATTGTCGGCCCAAACTACATTTTTCAACCTTGACTCCTCGTGTAAATCAACGGTAACGAAAAATCTGGGACATTGCGATTGCATTCTTGCAAAAAAAACCCTTGGATTGCCATTGCATCTCCACTTCCTAATCGAAGTTGTCAAATTTTATCTACGAAGTTCCGACAATCCTTATCAAGAAAAGGCAATTGATCATATCCACCCGCTTGAACAACCGCCGAGTTGACACTTTTGTGAACCGGTATTCCAGCAATATCATTTATTGCTAGTTGTCTCGCTATTTGAGGAGTCAATTCTCTATAGCAACGAAATATTCTTGACTTTGTAGGACTCATATCATGGTTATGTTCTTAATGAACTTTTGAAATTTCCCATGACCCGACATAATCAAAATATGCTCTAATTCGTGCTAAGCAATGTGATTGCATTGAAGGTTGAGGTTTCAAACAATTTTGGGACTTGCTACATCTACGCCCCGCACGAGAACACTCTATTACTACTCCCACTAAAATCTCTCTAGTTTTGTCTTTGGTTGATGTTTTTTTGTACAGGAAATCCGCTATTTCTAGCATATTTCGCATAAAAATCATACACTTCTTCCATGCTACCAAACTTCATGCCCACTTCTGGAGCTTTAAAATTGTTGTTATCTCCTTGTCCAGCAGTTACACAATACTCATAATTACATTGTTGTGTCTCTAAACACATACAACACACAAATAGTACTTGTCTGTATCCAGACAATATTTGTGTGCATACCGATATTAATTATTTGTCTTAATATGTTAATATCTATAGTACATCTTTTAGGATGTCTTTATATGCTAATTCGTAAATAAGTCATGCATGTACACATGGATTGTGTTACCAAATCGTCTTTGTGTTCACATTAATACAAAAAACACCATAAACACCTTGATGGATAAGTGTACCCGGGGGTATCTATCCGAGGGGTTACTGCGGGGAATAACTAGAGAGAAGTCAGAGCAAAAGTAAGAGAGAGAATATATATTGCTGAGAATGTGTTGAGCGTATTGAGAATGGATTACAAATGGGGAAAGGGGTGCTATTTATAGTAGTAATAAATGCCAGATAGGGACACGTGTCATCATTCTGATGGTCGAGGGGTCACCTCAACGGGGTGGCACTGGCACTCGCATGTGGCCGCATTAAATGCGATGGTTGGATGTGACGTCTGTACTCGGTACGTTGATCCGGCGCATGTGGGTGGGAGATTCTGTCGAGGAGATGCCTTCGGCCGTAGATGATTGGCCGAAGGCTCTTCATACCGGGGGCCTCTAGATGCTGAGGGCTCTAGGTGCCAAGGGCTACTGTTTTTGCCGCTTTCTCCCAGATCCTTTGAGGGCTTTAAAGAAGCTGTACTGTAAGTTTATGAGCCTTCGGCCAGGGGGGCGAAGGCACCCCAGTGTTCGTCGTGGGCTGTTTGGCACTTGGGGCGCTGTGATCTGGGCCTGCTTGCTTCCTGGGCCTATTGGTCCTTCGCTATAGTAGTGGGAGTCTATGTGCCGGGGGTTCCTGGGCCATATACTCCATCACACATTTTACACACTAAATGTCTGTATACAGATATAAGTTGTCTGTGTATATTAGTTGTTTATGTACACAGTAATTCTAAGTCATCCGTGTACACATGGACTGCAAGAAGAAGTCGTTTCCCCCCAAAAATATACAAAAATAAAGAAAAAAACAATATGCACCTTCTAAACAACTACCTAAATCATCCATGGCGTCCATGTTCATGTTCAATCGTTCCCCATTGTTTGAAGTTGTATTACCATATATCTCCGGTTGTCGTCATCGTTTCCATCAACAATTCTGCATACCAATCTTCTCCAATTGGTGGTGTACTGTTATGGAATCCATTCCTAAACTATGGAAAATGGACCTTTATAATAGGATAGTGAAGAGGGTGATGTCTACCAAGGAAGAAGAAAATAGAAGACAGTGAGAAAAGAGAAGAAGGTGTGGTGTGATGTGGTGTGGGAGGGGGGAATTTGGCGAAAAAAATCTATTTATAATGTGTAGACAAATGTGTAAAGGGGTGTATACACTAAGCACTATCCGAAAAATCTTTTTGTAGTCACGAGCAATCGTAGATTGAATATCTTAATACGTTATAAGGATGAGAAACCATTAAAAACTATTACAAATGTTGTAATTCAAAAAGTTCTCCAAAATCTCTAACAAGTTTCATATTTTGTTACTACCTTTGTCCCTCTAACATCGGGACAAGAGGGAGTGTTGCAGTTATTAATCAAAGTGAAATTATGTGATTGGTATTAAATTGGTAAAAAGTGAATAAAGTAAGAATGAATTGTAACCATCTGAATATGATCAAATATGTATCATCCCTCATTCTTTAATAGTTGCAACAGTTTGAATTTCACGTTTGACAACGCACAACTTTGACTGTAATTATATTTAATTAGATATTGGTTAACATTATAAAAAGTTAATACTTTGTAAATTTACATTAATAGAAATTTAATAACATTTTATTCATTTTATATATATAGGGAATTGCATCCAAAATCATAAATCAAGAAAAAGTGTGTGAATAAAGTCTCGCGGATAGGAGTAGGACTAGGGAACCGAAATGGGGAGGAACTAAACGGCCCCTTGTTGAACTGAGCTCAAAAAGGGGGAAGAATGTTGAATGTTCTTCATCTTTGCAGTAGCCGTTGCCACAAAAGAACAAAAAACCCTGGAAAAGCAAGAGATCCCCACACTCCACTCCAATTCAACACTACTGCTCTTAGATCGGCCAAACTGTGCCAAATTAATGCTCTGCTTTAGTTCTACTTCTCCAACCAAACCCTCTCACCTCGCTGTATCCTATCATCTATGGGGCAAGTCGGGAAAATGAATGCGGATCTCCAGAAGAAGAAGAAGAGTAAGAATGAGATAGACAGAAGCTCTGAAAAGAGAAGCCCGTTGCTAGATTGTAATAAAAACCCCAAGTTCTCTTCCAAAAACACCAACCTTCCTTCTTCTTTTTCCTCTCATTCTTCCGTTGAGGCTTCAAAATTTTCTCCCCGTTTTCTACTCTCTTCCAGCAACTCTTCTTCCGCCTCCTCTTCACAGAAACGGCCCGCATCCTTTCTCAGAGAAAAGAGTGCAAATCCGAAGTCGGGTTGTTCTAAAGAGAACATTTTCCCAAGACCCACTTCACAAACGCCCAAAAAGAGCGCTCCTTCCACAACCCAACGGCAGTCCGGGAGGAAAACCATATCCAGAGCTTCCAAAAAACCCATGCTTCCCGCCGATCTGGTCATTTCTGGGAAGAACTCAAGATCTGGGTCTCAAAAGATTGCTGCGAAAAATGAGGATTCGAAGACGTCTTGGGAAATCGGAAATGGTTCAGGTAAGCATCCAAACCATCTTATTCCTGTTGGGAAATTATTCTCCGGGCCGGGTTTAGATTGTGCTAACTCCGGTGGAGATCTGGTACACGAATCAAGTAAAAATGCCGTTAAGACTCCACCTATTGAACCCTCAGTGTCCCCTGAGATTCCATATGGGCTATCTTCTGCGAGGCCGGATTCAGCCACTACCCCTTGCTATGGCGCCGGCCATGTTCTCTCAGGGGTAGCAGATAAACGAAAATGCAGGCCAAGAGGGGTTCTGACTGTAGGTCCTGCCCTAGATTTACTCTCATCCAAGTCTGGTAAATCTAATGAGAATAACAAAAAGTCAAGAAGTTCTTTTGTTCCTTTACCTGTTGAGGCCTCAATGTGCTGGATGTCATCTCCCTCGGGTGAAGGAGACCGTGACGTCATCACTAATAAGACCAAGAGCAGTTCAGAGATCACCCAATTTTGTGGGTTAATGGGCTGTCTTCATCTTGATGGGCAGTTCTCATTGACTTCTCCCCATACCATGCCAAGCTGTAAAGATGCTCTCTTGCATCTATCAACAAAATGTTCTTGCAGCTTTTCAATTGACAACTCTCCAAATTCAACAAGCACTTTAAGTTGTGGTAATGTCATTCAGACCCCCAACTCGGATTCGAGTTCGGGCAGACATTTCGGGACATCTCTATTTAATATGGGCGAAGAACATAACCTTGGAAGATTGCAATATGAAGCTTTTGGCAAATCAAGCTTTTCTCTTCACGAACAGATAGAAGTTAGTAACTCTACCACGACTTTCAGTTTTGTAGGCATCACCCCCACACATAAAAAACTTGAAGACACTTCTGCATCGTGGCATTCAGATTCCTCAAGTGGAAATGAATCTGAGTCTACCATGAGAGTATCATGGAAGGATGTATTGGATGGGTTGGATGAAGAAAACCACAATGTGGTTTGCACGAATGATCAGACAAAGCCAAATCAGAGTTTTGAAGGCAGTGACTATGAATACAATGATCATGTGATGAAAAAGATGCTTAAAGATCCCAAATTTCTTGAGCAGGAACCTTTTTTCGTTTATAAGAACGGGAAAGAAAATGTATCAATATTACCACAAAGAAGACCTGTTTCATCTTGTGCAGAGTCCATTATCACTGATGGAGGGGGATTAGTTTCTTCAGCAGATTCAGATTGGAATCTCTGCTGCAATGATCAGATCTTTCGGCCGTAGTTGTTACTAGTATCGCACGGTTCACGACACATATCATGCTATATAGATGCATACCTGTACTATTAGAGTATTACTACTATTAGAATTGGAAAGGAATCTGGTGTGCCTTATGGAGCAACTTCCATCAGGATGGATTTAATTTCATTCCCTCACTCCCTCAGTTAACTTAAATTTTAAGTACTTGTTATTATTTCCAAACTTTTGGGCAATTTCATCGTGCAGTAGGCATGAATTTTGCTCTTTAAGTCTAAGTATTCTACTCCGTATTAAAATGCTTTTGGATCACATTATACTATTCATGATTTCACAATTATGGTTTAACTTTGCTTCATGCTTTGTATGGAGAATATGTTAGGTGTCATTCTTGGTGTCCACTTTTTTGTATACTTTTCGAACACCTTATCTATGCACACAAACAACTTTAACAAATTTCATTTTTTAGACGAATCCCATGCTTACAAATAAAACAGAGGATAATGTTCAAAAGGTGTACAAACTGAAATTTCCATATGCTAGTTCACATTCTTTGGTAGTAACTTAACTTGTAAGGTTGATTTTCAATTCTGACACCCTGGCATTTTTCTTCTCTTACCTTGTACTAGATGAGGTTTGGGATTCTTTTTTCTTTTGAGGGTAGTGGGAGGTTGTGAGGGTATTGGCATATGGTTAAATAGGTGGCCCTCCAAGCATAGTCCGTGTATAAGGTCTACCGCCGCTTTGCTGACTAAGTCGGTGTAATTAATCTCCTCACCATCTTGTCGGGTCGGGATGAGGGCTCTTGGGTGGGAGATTCCACCTTTTATTGGACCCAATGTGCTCTTTCTTTAGACTACCTGAATTTCCTGGCTCCACAACTTTTGGTTTGTGCTTTGTTATTATCTTTAGGAGCCAGTTTTCATTGGTTATTTTGAACTTCAATTATAGAACATTTTTTAAATCAGCAATCTGGTGTGACATTTGTCTTTGTTACTTTTAGTACTTTGTTACTGATATTTGGACAGACCAGGAGCTGGCCGGTCCAGAACTGGCCCGGTTCTACCCATAGACACATAATAATGTCACACAAAAACAGAATAAAATAAAAACAAGTTTAGTTAATTTTTGTTCTTTTGAGAAATCATTTGACATAAAAATAGTAAGTTCTAATACTGAACAAAGAAAATGTTTGCCAAAGAATGAAGGGTCTTTGGTTTGTTTCTTTAAAAAGAAAGGTAAGAGTTCAATTCATTTGTGTGTGGTGTAAGGATTTATTGAAGTCTTTGGCATGCAATGCCTTCATGTTAAATAATAATAATAATAATAATAATAATAATAATAATAATAATAATAATAATAATAATAAATTATAAATGCCATCTAAACATATTGGTTCACGGTACATCATGATCATGCCATCCTGAGTTAAAGAAGTTGGCAAGATAAGCAAGTCAAGTATGCATTTGCATCAACTATGCCACATATGTAGTGATTGTGATACATAAACTAACATCTTGATGTAAATAATTATCTATATGTCATTATTGTAGCGGTAACGTGAACTCCTAAAAATTACAGTTCGAACCTAGACAGAAAAATTATTTTTATTAATATTTATTTATGAACCAGGCCCCGTGTTTTCAAGCCCGGGGTTTTGGTCATTTTAACTCTTCTTGCATGAAGAGTTAATATTATACCAATCTCAGTCATATTATAAATTTATTTGCAACGAAAATATTTGATCGTATCAACTCTTCTCACATTATATGCTTTTGTACTAATTAGAAGATGCATTTAATATTAAACAGTAATTAAGAATAGTCATTTTAATGTGTGGGCACTTTTCTAAAACATCAATTACTTTGAAACTGCTGGTGGTCATATTCAAAAGGAAATATTATCACTAATGCATCATGGATTTACAGAAAATGTCAATTTACCAAAAAATAGAAAATTGATCACAAAGCTTTAGCATAACTCTTTAATATCTTTGGAACAAGTCCTTAATATGTGGGTGGAAAATGATAGTTGGACATAATCTTTCTTGTATCATAGCTCCAAGTCAACAACAAGACTTGGTGTTTTCCAGACGACAAGTCATAAGGTAAACACAAGAAAGAAAATAACATAAGAAGAGACTCCTGACTCCCCACCAAACCATTATTAACATTTCAACCTATTCCTCCCCCACTTCTCATTTCCCCTCATCTCCTGTAAGGCAGCCAAGATATATAATGGAAGGTCTGATTCCACTGGTCTATAAGAGCATCAAGAGAAGCAGAACCCTCAGGAAGTATGAGTTTCTTTCCTCTGAGAATGTTGAGGCTGGCTACACCTTGACTAGCAACCTTTGTTACACGGCACCACCACCCGAGGCTGAGAAAACGGCTGTCGAGGCTAAGGTCCACCGGAGGCACAAATCATGCCAAGTGGAATATTACCCTGCAGGTCGGCTTTCACCCGATCACAGCTCTGCTAAGCCTGGAAAACTTGTAAGGTTTGGAAGCCAGAAGATGTTCACATGTTTAAATTAAGTACTGCACAATATAAGTGCATAGTAGAAGCCTAGAAGGTAAGAAAGAAGTCTGTCATTATATTGTTGGTGTTGGTTTGCTTATATGCATAGTAAGTTTGGGCTTCACTAATTCTTGCCATATTAATACTGGCTATCAGTCTGGCAATAAGTGTTGAAGCTCTCATCATGTAAACTGTATAAAAAGTATATTACATAAAGAAAGGGACAAAAGCATGTCTCTAGCTTGAAAACTTTAAACAAAAATGAATTTGTCATTCAGAAGATTGTCAAGACTTGGACTGCTCCATCATCAAACTTTTTCAACCTCCTCATTTTGAAGTTTGTCTTCTTTTTCCACAAATATAACTTCAAAAGATTAATCTTACCAAACAGATCCAGATTCAAAGGAGACTGCTCCATCATCAAACTTTTTCACCCTCATTTTGAAGCTTTTCTCTTTTTTTTATAGCAATTATAACTTCAAAAGATAAATCTTACCAAACAAATTCAGATTCAAAGGATTAATCTTATGAAGGAATATTTCATTTTTTAGCATATTTCATCATGGAGTAAATTGAAAGGGGTGGTGAATATGCATAATAATATTGAAGCTGAAATGGTCAACTCAACATCCAAACGGCCCTAAGAAGCATATGCTGCAAGCTCAAATCCTACAGAAAGAGACAGGCTAGGCATCCGAGAAAAAGAATTGGTTTTGAGGAATTTCACAGATTAGTTTGTAAACAGAATTTCACAGATTGGTTTTGGAATTTTTAATTAATTAGGGAGACAGATTCCCCAATTCACTTAAATATGGAAAATTGGAAATACACTAAATAACATTGAAATTTGAAAGCTTTTGAGTTTTCAACAGGCTTCTAATTGTTTAAAGGGAAAATAATTAAAAATCTCAAATTTTAATGGAGTTTGAGGTAAGCATCCAAATTTGCATATGTGATATATACCCTGAACTTTTTATAAAAAGTAATTTTTGCACCATGATTGCATGTTTTTTTACAGATACAAATTTGTTGGAATAATTACATAATTTAAAATACTCTATGCTATGTTAGAATGCCGTTAACATTCTAAAATTTCATTTGAGAAATAAATAATATTACAATAATATTACATTCGGTACAATTTAATTTTAACTTCTTCCTCATAAATGTTTTGTGTATTTTAAATTATTTACTTACCACACCATAAAATTACATTTGCAAAAATATATATAAGCATGGTGCTAACATAACTTTTTATACGGAGTATAAAGTTTGGGATATATTGATATGTGTGTGTATCAGAGATCAAATACAAACTAGGCTTAATTTGCTAACCTACAAACTAATTCTAGCCATTAATTTAGTGCAGATTACCATCCGTATGCGGTTGCCTAACTTAAGTAATTGAGGGGGTCTTTAAGTCCTTTTTGTTTGTTCTAATTTTGGAAAAACAATCACGTTCCTTTACATAACCTCTTTCCATAACCTCTTCTTCATGGCATTCCTATTCTTCCGTCTTCCGTAATGAAGCATTATTTCATTTCCATCTTAGGATTTTATTTCTTCTTCATCATAGAAATTTGATTTAGGCATAACTTCTTTGCCGCCATTAACAGGGGACGCCATGGATTTCGATATTCAATCATACTTTCATGAATTCTTTTTTTAATTCATCTCCATCTTCATCTCTATCTTCCTCTCCGCCCCATAAAATCTTGCATGTTGGAAAATCTTGTTTTGTCCTTTATGAGATTAATTAGATTTTAACGTTTTCAATTTCGTCTAATATCCATTGCAATGAGATTCGGTGTGACACCGCTCCTGATTCAACTTGGATTATTTATCCATTAAAATTAAAACTTAATTAAAACTATAAATACTAACCAAAACAATAATGGTTGGTAGAGTTAATGAGTGCTATATTAATCACATGGGAAGTGATTAATTGATTTAATTAATAGTGATTAATTAAATTGTGTATCGATCCCGAAATATGGGAAAAGACTAACTAATACTATCGTATGTTCTTGACCCATATTGTTTATTTAAATGGGCCAATAATAATGGAAGGGTTAATATATAGAGATATGGGCCAAAATAATAGGGAAGAAGTAACCCAATAAGTGATTGGGGGCGAACTTACTAATAATAGAATTATTGCGGGTATTAGTCCCGGATTATTGGAGAGGACTAACCAATATATTTTGGGTCCAACTTATTAATATCCAATAGCCCAATATAGTATAAATCCAAGTATATAACTCATTTAGGCCGAATAAAAGTGGAATGGACAGCTCAAGCGATCCATGGCCCAACATTCTATTAATAGAAGGGATAAGATAGGAGAGTTTCTCTCCTTTCATTTTGAGTTGCACATCTACGTAAGAATAGAGGGAGAGGGAGCTCAACAAGAAGCTCCATGAGATAGGAGCAAGGTTGAAGAAGGAAAAGAGCTCCGGGAAGAAGAACACCGATTCTAGGTAACCAAAACGCTATCCCCGGTTATTCGTGTTATATACTATATTTCATATATATGATTTTTGAGAAATCATTTGATGGATTATAGATGTTGTTTTACACGTTTAAAAGTGTAGAAAATTGATATAAAGTTTTGGTATTTAACTTAGAAGAGTAGTTGAATCAATATGAATTGAAACTGACGCAAACCGCCATAGAAGGGTGCTGTTTTCGTGCTGTAGGGCCCGAAAGCCGCTCAGCTTTTGCAAAAGCCACCCGAAACCGTTCGGTCCAGAACGGGGATATCCAAATGACTTCACAAAGGCAGCTAGTTAAGCACATCACAAGGTTAGGATGGCTGACTATATTGTTTCGAACTAGTGGGTTAATTCATGAGATTACCTA